AAATAAAATAAAATAAAATAAAATAAAATAAAATAAAATAAAATAAAATAAAACAATACTACTCCAGGGAATGGGAATGAAACCTCACCCTTGGCGGTGAATTCCCCACTGCAGTCATTCCCAGATTCCAGGGAAATCTTGGACTCACCACCATTTTATCAGCCTGGAATGTCCTCTGGTAGCAGAGCCCCGACTGTGTCACCACGACGCCCTCTCCGTGTCTCTGGTCATCCAACCACATCCCGATGTGCCTCTCCCCTCTGCAGTGCAAGGCAAAGCCAAGGCGTGGATTTTCCCCTTTTCCCAATCCCTGGGATTTGTCCTCGATCCCAGCACGGACGCTCCCACACAAACTGAGCTCCGGGAATGTTTTGCAAGGAATTCATCCCAAATCCTTCAGGATTTATCCTCACCAACCCCAAAGCTGTCCCACACCTCTGATCCATCCCCCCCTTTACCTCTCCTTGTCTTCCCAGACCCCGTATCCGTTCTTTTTGTCGTTTTCCCACTGTCCCGTGTATTTGTAGGGATGCTCGGCAGAGAAGTTCTCCAGGATCCCAAATCCTTGGCGCACGTTGTCCCTGAAGTAGCCCTTGTAGACCAGGTCATTCCCATACCTGCAGGAAGAGGGATGGAATTCCAGTTTGATTTGATTGGGAATCTTGCTGGTGTAGAAAACCAAGGAAGAGAGGAGATCGGGCTCATCCATCTCAAAATATTCCAAATATTTTCTGACAGCGCTGGGTTTGATCCTTGTTTGCTGTTGGGAACGTGCACCACCCGAACTGGACATTCCAGAGCTTCCCAAATTATCCAAGGACTCAACACACGGGCTTGGAATTGTCCTGGGAGAGGCCTTGACCTCCCACCAGCCTGGGCACAGGGAGCTCTGGATCCGTAGGAAGGAGGCCAGGCTTGGATCCAGCCTGCTGTGGTGGCCACCAGCCCTTCCCTGGACTGGTCCCTCTGGGAAGAGCAGCTCCAGGTTTAAATATGGAGCAGAAGATCCAGGTGGGATCCCAGCTGGAATGCTGGGTCTGTCCCACTTGGCACGGAGAAATCAGGGATCGGGATGAGCAGGAACCAGAGGCAGCCCAATGCTCCCAGTGGCCAAAGCATTTGGGGTGACCTCGGAAAAGAAAATTCCAGGGAAACCTCGGAGCCTTTTCCAGGACCTGAAGGGGCTCCAGGAGAGCTGGAGAGGGACTGGGGACAAGGCCTGGAGGGACAGCACACAGGGAATGGCTTCCACTGCCAGAGGGCAGGGATGGATGGGATATTGGGATGGAATTCCCAGAGCAGCTGTGGCTGCCCCTGGATCCCTGGAAGTGTCCAAGGCCAGGCTGGAGCAGCCTGGGACAGTGGGAGGTGTCCCATGGCATGGAAGGGAAATGGGATCACCCTTAAGCTCCCAAACCATCCTGGAATTCTTAACACCCACAAAGCATAACCAGCCCAGGCTCCAAAGATTTCAGGGAATATTTCCATCCTTAAATCCCTGGAACCCTCCCTTTTCCCTGGAGCCCATCCTGGATGTTACTTACTCACAGATTCCATAGCCCTGCATCTTGCCCTGGTACCAGTGGCACTTGTAGCAGTCGTAGCGATCCTCGGAGCGCCGCGGCACCAGGCAGATCCCAAACCTGCCCGGGGCACGTGGGAAAGGTCAGCAGGGAAAATTCCAGAATGGGAAAATCCAGCATGGAAAAGATGAGCAGGGAAAAATCCAGCATGGAAAAATCCAGCATGGAAAAATCCAGCATGGAAAAATCCAGCATGGAAAAGATGAGCATGGAAAAATCCAGCATGGAAAAGTTGAGCAGGGAAAAATCCAGAATGGGAAAATCCAGCATGAAAAAGATGAGCAGGGAAAAATCCAGCACGGAAAAGATCAGTATGGAAAAATCCAGCACGGAAAATCCAACATTGAAAAGGTCAGCATGGAGAAATTCAGGATGAGAAAGGTCAGCATGGAAAAATGCAGCAAGGAAAAACGCAGAATGGGAAAATCCAGAATGAGAAAGGTCAGCATGGAAAAATTCAGCATGGAAAAAATCAGCATGGAAAAAATCCAGAATGGGAAAAGACAGAAGGGAAAATTCCAGCATGGAAAATTCCAGCATGAAAAAAATCCAGCATGGAAACGGTCAGCATGGAAAATCCAACATTGAAAAGGTCAGCGTGGAAAAATCCAGCGTGGAAAAATCCAGCGTGGAAAATTTTGACTCCATTGTAGTGGATGAGGTTTAAAAACCAATTTGAATTTTGTGGGATTGGGGATTTTCCTGTTAAAATTCCTCATTTAAAAGTGAGATTTTGAAGGGACCTAAAAACAACTTTAAGACATTTCCTAGGAGTAAATTCCCAGGGATTTTAGGGACGTGGGATCAGATTCCAACCCCTGGTGTCAGTCACTGTCAATCCCCTCTCTCTGGAAGGAACCATTCCAGTGGATTTTAAGAGCAGGGAATATCATTCCCATTTTCCAGGGCTTACCCGTGCTCCAGGCCCTCCTGGAAATCCCCGACGTGGTTGCGGCCATCGCGCCACTTCAGCGTCCCCCTGGAATCCAAGGAATTCTCTCATCACAACGTTCCCAGATGGAATATTCCTAAATATTTAGGCCAGCCCAGAGGGAGCTTTGAGTCCAGTGCAAGCTCCCGTGGTAAGGGGTTAGATTTGGATCTTTCCCGAAGTTCTTCCCAACCCAAATCATTCCCAGGTTTGGTGGCAAACATCCCAAAAATTCCTGGGAGGACAAAGGCACAAAAGGCACCTCCAGGCCTCGGTTTTCAGAGGGAGGATTTAATCCCATCGTGTTTTCCTGCTCTGGGATGAGTGGGAAGAATCCATTCCACTCCCTAATCCCAAAAGTATTTTGTGCAGGTGCTGGCTCGTGCCTTTAGGAGCTGGCACAAGATCCAGAATTAATGACAGGGATTAATTAATCCAGCAGCAGTTCCAGCCTGGCACTGCCCCGTGGGCACGGGGACACCACAGCCTGGAATTCCAGCGGCTCAGACACTGGGAGAACACAGAGGAATCCCAGTCCAAGGCATGGAGAATTCCACGGTTTGTGGGGGCTGGAAAAGGGATTCCAGGAGGTGACAGCAGAGCAAGGAGAGCCGGGAATGCTCAAGGATGGAGAAATTCCTGCCCGGCCATGCCCAGCTCTGGAGCCTTTTCCCTCCCTCCCTGCTGGGATCCCATCTTGACACACCCAGGGACAGCTCGAATTCCAACCTCATCCCAGAGCATCACATCCCTGCACATTCCCCAGCCAGACACAACGGAATTCCAAACTCCTGCAATGGTTTGGGTGGGAAGGACCTAAAGGATCAGCTCAGCCCATGGGCAGGGACAGGTCCGAGTGTCCAACCCGGCCTTGGACATTCCAGGGATCCAGGGGCGGCCACAAATCTTTGGGAATTCCATCCCAGCCCCTCCCCACCCTCCCAGCCAGGAATTCCTTCCCACATTGAGTTTAAATGGATCTTGAGCCTGGAATAAAAGCTGGGGATTAGGCTGAGGGAATGACAGCAGCCTGGAATATCAGGGATTTGAGGAATTCTGAGCTCTTTTTGGAGCTGGAGGCCAAAGCTTTGGAGTTCCTCCAGAATCCCTCAGGGAATGTTGGAATATTTTTCCTCTGTGCTGATGCTGAGCTCGTCTGCTCTGCCCCAAAACCCCAATTGGAACAATTCAAAATCATGGAATCCTGGAATTTTTGGGGTTGGATGGGATCCTAAAGAACACCCAGTTCCAACCCCGTGCCAGGAACATTTCCCACTATCCCAGGCTGCTCCAAGCTGGCCTTGGGCACTTGCAGGGATCCAGGGACAGTCCCAGTTTCTCCGAGAATTCCATCCCAGCCTCTCCCCACCCTCCCAGGCAGGAATTCCATCCCCATGTTTCATCCCAACATCCTGTGGGTCGGTTTGACAGGAGATGGTGCAACACCAAAACCATGACGAGGTTGTTTGACTTTCACCCAGGCTGTTGTTTCAAACACCTCCACGGGAGTGGCACTTCTCCAGGTTTTCCAGAGGATTGCTTGGACATGTTGGGAATTGCAATTTTTAAATTTAAATTTAAATCCCCTTTGGCTTTTGTGGGGAGGAACGGAAAAAGGGAGCGGCCAAAGGGGAGGAGGGAACAGCTGGAGCTGGGCCAGGTCTAAGCTGGATTTTAGGGAAAAGTTCTTCCCCCAGAGGGTGTTGGGCACTGAATATTCCCCAGGGAATGGGCACATTCCCAAGGCTGCTCCAGGGTGGGGTTGTTGGGATTTCTGTGCAGGGCTTGGAGTTGGACTTGATCCCTGTGAGCCCTTCCCACTCAGGATATTCCATAATTCCATGTCTGCTCCCGGCACAGCTGAGTGGGAGTCTGGCCTTCCCCCACCCCAGGTCACCCAGAATTCCAGCAGAGCCAGTGGACGAGGCCAATGTTTTTTCCCAAAGAGCCCAAATTCCCACTCCCACAGCTCTCCTCCCTCAGAAATCCCAGAGCAGCCACCAAAGCCAGGATGCTGCTCTGGAACCTTCCAGCAACAAAATCCCAGCAGAGGAATTCCAGGAGTGGGAAGGGGACTCAAATCCAACCTTAGTGAAGTCCCTTAATTCTGCCACAAATTTCCTGGGATTCACCTGAGTCACTCCATGGGAGGCTGGAGAGGTTGGGATTAATCCCAGTTTTCCAGCCCTAAGGCAGGAGAGGACAAAATCCAGGAGATGGTTTTGAGGGAGTGAAGGTGGGAATGATCCAAAGGTCTCCTGCCCTAAACACTCCTTTATCTCTTCCATGGAATATTCAGGATTCAGTTTTGGATTTGGGATTTGAACTGGATTCCCTTCCAAGCCATTTCTGTTCTGGATTCTTTCTCTATTTTAAGGCTCTCTCAAACCAATTCTCTCTCCATCCCTTTTGCTTCCAGAGCAAACTGTGTTAAACTCATGGAAAAGAAAATTTCCAAATGTTTTGGTGGCTGAGGAGCTCGGTCATAGTCCAGGTTTCTTCCTAAAAAACCCCCCAGACTCTTCTTTATCCCATATCCAAAAAATTCTGGTTGGGATCTTTGATTTACAGACATTCCCTCACTTAAACCCAGATTTACTGAACAGTTCCCATGTTCCCTTTTGAGCTCCTGTTGTATTTCAGCCTTTCTTAATTCCTGGGATTAAAGTTTGGATGTTCAAGTTTGGATGAATTCCAAAGGGGTTTTGGTAGCAGAGAATAAAATTGTTCTCCACAGAAGGTTTTTAGTGGGGATTTTCCTCCACGTGAGGGTGAGATTTTCATACCCCAAGGCTGAGGTCTTGATTTTAGGCCAAGCCTAAATCCTAAATAGAGGCTCAGGGTGATCGACAACACATTTTTGGGGCAGCCTTTAGGATTCAATCCATAAACCGTGGATGAGACATCCACAATAAATCCCAAATTTTAGAACTCAGGCTTTGCTAAACTTGCTCTCAAGCCAAGAATTCCCTCTGGGAATGAGTGAGGTAGGAAGCAGAGCACCAGAGTCTGGATTCACATCCACAACCTCACGAAGAATCAAATTCTGGAATTAGCCCCACCCTGAAGTGCCCAAAAAAGGAGCAGATGTGGTTCAGTGACCTTGGACATCTTTCCCAATCTTCATGGAAACACAAAACCAGCACTTCCAACCTCATTCCCACTTGGAAAAGTGGCCCAGAGGGTTCCTTACTTGCCATGGGGCTTCCCCCAGAACCATTTGTTCATGATGTTGTTGAGTGACCTGGAGAAGTTTGGGTTGACCTTGGAGATCTTTCCTAACCTTTAGAGAAACTCCAAGCCAGCACCTCCAACCTTAATCCCACTTAGAAAAGGGGTCCAAGCCAGCAATTCCAGCCCTATTCCCACTTGGAAAATTGGCCCAGAAGGCCACGGGGCTTCCCCCAGAGTGACTCATTCATGATTCGGTTGAGTGACCTGGAGAAGTTAGGAAAGGTCTCCAAGGTCAACCCAAACCTTTAGAGAAATTCCAAGCCAGCACTTCCAGTCTTATTTTCCCACTCAGAAAAGGGGTCCAAAAGGCACTTCCAACCTCATTCCCACTTGGAAAAGTGTCCCAGAAGTTCCTTACTTGCCATGGGGCTTCCCCCAGAGCCATTTGTTCATGATGTGGTTGAGTGACCTGGAGAAGTTTGGGTTGACTTTGGAGATGGTCAACCCCAACTCAACCTTCATGGAAATTCCAAGCCAGCATTTCCAATCTTATTCCCACTCAGAAAAGGGGTCCAAAAGGCACTTCCAACGTTATTCCCACTTGGAAAAGTGGCCCAGAGGGTTCCTTACTTGCCATGGGGCTTCCCCTAGGGCCACTGTTCATGATGTGGTTGAGTGACCTGGAGATGTTTGTGTTGACCTTGGAGATCTTTCCCAAACCAACCTCATTCCCACTTGGAAAAGCGTCCCAGAGGGTTCCTTACTTGCCATGGGGCTTCCCCCAGAGCCACTCGCCCTCGTAGGTGGCCCCCCGGAGCCGTCCCTCGCTGCGGAAGACGTAGGTGAAGAAACGTCGGGACGGGGCCTCGCTGCCTTCCCCGCTCCGGCCCCAGAGAGGAAAATCCCGCTTCCCATTGAGCGCCTGGCGCACGGCCTGCTCCAGCTTCCACCACCACACGGCCTGAGGGCACGGAAAACTGGGAATCAGCCCAGATCCCGGGAAAATCAACCGGAGACGGCGCCAGGAAAGCGGCGAGGAACCGCTGTGTTCCCGTCAAAGCTCATCTGAGGCTTCCGCTCCGCCGGAAGTTGGATATTGCACCGAGGCACAGCAGCTGGGAGGGAGGAATTTTTACTTGGATGTTGAAAAATAGGAAAATTTTCTGCTTGGATATTAGGAAAAAAAAAAAAAAAAAGGAGAAATCGGGATTTCAAATTGATTTGAGAAAGAGGAACTTCAGGAAAAGCAGCAAGAAACCGATGGGTTCCCACTGACATTCCTCACCCGCCATCGACTCTGAGCCACCTCTGGCCCCTGGAAAAGGAGCCAAAAATCCGGGATTTTCTTGGAGAAGGAGCCAAAAATCCCAACCCACCCCTGCCCTGGATTATTATCCTGCTTTAAATAATAAAGAGATGTGAAAATGCCAAGGCCTGACCTTTATCTGGGGGTCCTTGGCAGAGAGGACGAACGTCTCTTCTGGGGTTGTGATGCGCAGGTTGTACCTGGGAGGGCAAAAAAAGGATGGAAAACACAATTCCCAATCCATCAGCTCTTCCCACTCCCCTCCTGGAGCTCCTGGTGATTTTCCAGGTGTTTTTCCTGGAGAGATCTCAGGTTTGCCAGGGCTGGATTAAATAATTTTGGGATTGGAAATGAACGGGATGAGAGGGAACAGCCTCAAGTTGTTCCAGGAGAAGGTCAGGATGGACATCAGGAATTTTTTCATGGAAAACATGGTCAGGCATTGGAATTGCCACGGAGGTTTGGAGTCTTCATCTCTGGAGGTGTCCAAGGAATTCTGGGCTGGGAACAAGGTGGGGATGGGACACAGATTGGATTTGATGATCCCACAGTGCTTTTCCAACCTCAAAAATTCTGGGATTTCATTCTGGCAGTGAATTCCAAGCTGTTGAGACCCCATTATCCATATCCCAACCCCACTGCTTGGAAAGGAGATGGGACAAAGCTTTGGATCATTTTCCCATCAACCTGAACATCTTTATTCCTTTTTTATTAAATTCCCAGTGGGAATTTCTCACTCACGATCCCGGAGCTGATTTCTCTTCGCAGTTTTCATCCACCCACACCAGCTTGAGATCAAAACTCTGGAAGCTGTTTCCCTGGGAAAAAAAATGGGAAAAAGTGATGCTGTTATTGCTGGAAACATCCATGGAATGGCAGAGCTGGACTGGCAGCACAGATTCCCAATTTTTTGGTCCACCCATCCCACACTGGGATGAGAGACATTGGAGATGGAAAAGGAGGGAAGTTCTTGTTTGAACACTCCTAAAGCTCTTCCAAAATTCCATGGCCACATCCAGGAGTAAAACCTTCCCACGTGACCCTGATCTCCACAGGAATTCCTTCCCTATCCCATGGCAACATTCCCAAATCGTTCCAGCCAATATTCCCAGGGATTTGTGGCTGCCCCATCCCTGGAAATATCCAAGGAAAGGTTGGACAGGGCTTGGAGCAACCTGGGATGGTGGAAACCATGGAATGGGGTGGGAATGGATCATCTTTAAGCTCCCATTCCATCCAATCCATTCCAGGATTTATTTAGGTTTGGACTCCAGGTGGCACCGCCAAAAATATCCCAGAAATCCCAAATTTAAGGAGTCACTTTTGGGATCAGCAGCACTCAAACAGAACAAACTCCAGTGGTTGGAATGAAAGGAAAATTGAAATTTTCCATCTCCCTTCCCTGCCTCACATCCAAGCACCCACATGGAGCTGCTGCCTGGCAGGATGGAGTTTTCCATGGAATTCCCAAGTGTTTTCCCAGATTTGTGAGAACAAACAAAGAAGGGACATCAAGATTCCCAAATCCAGTTGGAATTCCCAAACCTCCATAAAGCTCAGCAGCAGCATCAGGTGACACACAGATGGGAATCATGGATTGAACCTGGAGATAATTCCATGGATTTGCTGTTCCCATCACCAGCCACTGGAGTGAGGCCATGATCCAACTCATCCAAAACAGGGTGGATAAACAACATTCCATGGCACAGGCTGCTCTTCCCGGAGTCTTTAGGGAATTCTCATCAGCAGGATGAGAATTCCAAAGTGTCCAGGTGGAGCAGGGAATCTCCACCCCATTCCCAAGGCTGGATCCTGGTTATTCCCAAGGCAGTGCAGCTGGAGCAATCCAAGCTGGAATTCCCTCATGGAAACACATCCCCAAACCCCAAAATTCCCAAAACAGCCCCAAAAACACCTCCAACGTCTGCAGCCTTGCCACAAACATGGAAAAATCCCGTTTATCCCAATGAAATCCCGTTTATCCCAATGAAATCCCGTCTATCCCAATGAAATCCCGTCTATCCCAATGAAATCCCGTTTATGTGGGAGCTCATGGAATCTCATCATTGATCCATCAGATCCCTTGGAATAACTAAGGGCCACAATTCCCTGTGGAAAAGGGTTTGGATCACTCAAAAGGTGCCTGTGGTGGTTGGATATTCCAACATTTGCAACATTTTCCTGGGAAATTCATAATCCCACATTTTCCTGGGAAAATGTTCTGTGGATCTCCTCTATTCCTTCCCAGATATCCCTTTTATTTTCCACACGTGGATGGATCCGAGCCAAAGTTTTCCCAACTTTTCCCCAACAGCCAAACTCTTGTCGTATTTTCAACATCAAAAAAAACGGGAATTTTCCTGCCGTTCCTTTGGGGAATTCCTGTCATTCCTGCCATTCCAATGGAATTTTAGTGTTGTTTATCCACGTTCCCCTTCCCAGTCCCTCTGGACTGACCTGGATGAGCACCAGGACGTCGTCGAAGAGCAGGAGCCGCTCGGAGCGGGCGCTGCCGGAAGCGATGGGAAGGTTCCTGCTGTCCTCCAGGAGCCTCCTCTCGGGGACACACAGCATGTCCTGGAAAAAAAAAAAAAACAAAAAACAGGATTGGGAGAGGACATGGAATTCCAGGCAGGAATTCCTGCAGGCATCAGCTGACTCGGGGTTCCAGTGACAGTGACACGCTTGGGACACAAAACTCCAGGTTAAAACCCCCAGGGAGTTTCTCCAGCTCTGCTCTGTGGAATTCCAGCCTCAAATCCTTAATCCGTATCAAATCCATATCTAATTCCTGATCCATAGCAAATTCCCTCTGACTCGGGGTTCCAGGGACAGTGACACAACTTGGGACACAAAACTCCATGTTAAAACCCCCAGGGAGCTTTTCCAACTCTTCCACCAATTTTGCTCTGTGGAATTCCAGCCTCAAATCCTTAATCCATATCAAATCCATATCTAATTCCTGATCCATAGCAGATTCCCAATCCATATCAAATTCTCTCTCACTCAGGGTTCCAGTGACAATGACACACTTGGGACACGAATTCTTCTTTAAGCCCCCAGGGAGTTTCTGCAACTTTTCCACTTTTTCCACCCAGCTCTGCTCTGTTGAATTCCAGCCTCAAATTCCTGATCCATATCAAATTCCCAATCAAAATCAAATTCCCTTTGACTCGGGGTTCCAGTGACAGTGACTCAGCTTGGGACACAAAACTCCAAGTTAAAACGCCCAGGGAGTTTCTCCAGCTCTTCCACACAGCTCTGCTCTGTGGAATTCCAGCCTCAAATCCTTAATCCATATCAAATCCATATCTAATTCCTGCTCCATAGCAAATTCCCTCTGACTCAGGGTTCCAGGGACAGTGACACACTTGGGACACAAACTCGGCTTGAAACCCCCAGGGAGCTTTTCCAACTCTTCCACCAATTTTGCTCTATGGAATTCTAGCCTCAAATCCTTAATCCATATCAAATCCATATCTAATTCCTGATCCATATCAAATTCCCAATCAAAATCAAATTCCCTCTGACTCGGGGTTCC